CTAATTTAATTGAAATCTAGGCAAGCGGTAGCGTGTCAAGCCAAGTTCAAGCTAACAGAACTGGCGAGTAGCACCGTGTGTAACATTACATACAATCATTTGGAGCCACTTTTGATTCCCTTATAACTCAAAAACATATTTTTTAAGTTTATGTATTTCACATAAACATGTCAAATTGGGTTCATTTATAGAGAACTAGCCAAGTCAGACCTTAGGTCTCAACATAATTATCGTAAGTTATAAGAAGAAATGTTATTTTGAGTTGTTATAAAATATTAGGACTGACAATTAAACTTGGCATCCATTTAGATCTTACTTCTTTTGTCATTGAAGTCAACAACCAAGGTAGGTATATATCATAATATTGAACTTGGCTATCATTTCACATTTATGTTTTTGGTGGGATATATTATTAAATCTGTGATTGCAATATTTCACTAGTTTTAAACGGATTTTATATGAATGGCCTCAAATATTTTTGCGCCTCATAAAAACGAATTGTGCAGCAACAAAATATTTGACAGCCAATTTGCAAAGTCATCATTATATTAAGTACTTGTACCGTAGTATTAGACTGTTTATGTTTTCATAGTTTATATTTCTTTAAATTGGTATTATCAGGGTATCAATTTTAACCAAAAGTCATGTAAATTATAAATATCAATTATATAATATGATATTTAAAAAAAGGTTTTGCTTCCTTTATTATCTGTTATTTATTTATATTCCAAACGAGTATGATTTGTTTTACATTAATATAAGGAATAAAAAAGAAATCCAGTACACAGAACTCAGACTCAAAATTCGTGTTGACTGATGTAATAAGAGAGATTTTTTATATATAAGTAGCTACTTACGAATATACAATACATGTCAATAGTCAATCGTTTATTGCAAACTAAGTATAGATATATCTATCTTACTGCGACAGATACATTAAATGGAAAATTACATTATAAGTGCTTTAAACTTAGTCGCCCTTTTCGGACACAGCAAATTGTTAGAGGGCTTTTAAAATAAATTGACATATAAAATTAAATATAGAAAAATGACAAATCGTCATGACAATATTATTAATTTAGGTAATTCATATTTTGTCACGTCCTTAGATCTTCCTTATTACGGTGATCATTATCATTAAGTGTAAGTTTTTTTTTTATTGATTTTACTAAGTTTACCGTTTTAGTATTATTGTTGTTAAAAATAAATATATTTTTTTTTATTAAAATTGTATTTTATTCAAAACGGTTTACTACTCAAATACTTAAAATTAATAAAGATTTAAAGCAAGTGTAGTGTATAGACATAGACTATTTTGCTGGTAAAAAGTATTATCGCTCCCTGTTTCTGTAGTAGTGATGATTACGTTCTAATTTTTTAATCTTTTTTTTGGGATCGCGACCAAAGTGTGACCAATGGGTGAAAGGAACCCTATTACTAAGCCTTCGCTTCAGGTGCGGTCGCAGCCTGAAATTTTGGTGGGGGTCACTCACTACACTAATAAAAAATAGGTATCTGGAATAAAATAAACATTATTCCACAAGACACTTTTTGACACAAGATTTTTCAATTTGACCTTAGATTTGGGGGGGGGGGGGGGTCATGTCCCCTGTGACTTTTTTAAAATCATCAACTTATCACCTTCTTTTGTTTGATAGAGTTCGTTCGTTGTAATTTAATACCTGTGATTTTTGAGGCAAATGAGAACAGACAAAAGTAAGAGATAGATATAATTATTGTAAACACCAACGCTCGTGGCAGTCGCATAATATTTACTCTTGATCGCACTGAACTGGACTTATGGATGATGCGCCGGGTAAGGCCCGTAAGTGCGAGCGAGAGAAAATATTATGCGCGACGTTGCTCTATGCCGCTACACAGCTACCTACAGCCAGCGGTTTGGCAACATCTCGGGATTTCTGTGATGCGCGTGCGATATCGAGACCAAATAAATAAATAATAAAACAACAACAATAATCAACGCGTAATTTTACATTTGGTTTCGATTTTAATATTGAATTCATGAATCTGGTATAGCCATATTTTTAAAGTAAACCTATAGCCTTTTTACTCTCAAATAGTATGAGCTTAATAATCATTTCTTTTATTTTTATTATGCTCTTGTAAAAATAGGTACTAGCTTTCCGTCAGCGGCCTCGCACGCGCAGAACAAAACTTTGATCATACATTGTAACCCCTTAGAGTATAAATAAGAAAATACTACCATTTTCTATTTCTCTCGGTAATTAGAAGCCTAATTAATTACCAACTCCGATATTGACAACCTTAAAAAATTTAATTTTAATTTATACACATTTATCCCCATTTTAAGGAAGTTTCCTAAAATCCTTTTTAGGCAACGACACCTAATAATTAATTACTTTCGTGTAAAATTTCACCTTCATATTTAAACTTTTAATTTAAATTAAAGTTGATGCTGTCACTTTCTTTGTAGAAACAAAATTTCTTGGTAAAACAAAATAAGACAACACGCGACTTAATGAAGATTACCTTTAATTGACGCCTTAGAGTGCGGCTGTTAGTGACATATAAAATATCACTGAATTATTCAGGAGTTATGATTCTTATAAGTTGTTAAATAATCTACAGAACTCTTACTTCGTAAATAGCACGAACGATTACAACTGTTTCCGGATTTAATTATGTAGGTAATTGAAAAGAGGACATTCACTAAATCATTTACGAATTCCTAACAAAATGTAATATCATGAGCATACATTCATCACAACACAACCGAACTATTGCTGTTCATTCATAAAAAGTCGAGAGCCCGCCCACTAACGAATCGTACAAAACGAGTGCATGGCAAAATCGCCTTAAAGCTGGTCAGGCGGCCGTGACCGTGTTTGTACGTCGTTTGCATGTCAAGTTGTGACTAAAGCGATTAGGGTCGTGGACCACAATTGGTGCGGATCACTTTTGTGAGGCTAGTGCCGTATCTACCCTTTTTGTTTTAATCTAAGTTATGTAATCGATTTAGTGAATTTAACAATTCAAGATATATTTTAACAAGTCATTACGGTGGTAAAACAGTTGAATGAATAGGCACACAAGCGACATCTATGGCGAATTCTCGAAGCACGTGGTGAGTTGGTTTGGGAATTGACAGCTATTGACGTTTTTACAAGGCGCGCAACATATTCAATCCAATAGATGGCGCCACCCGTTGAATAAGAGCAAACTTTTAATACAATTTTGTACGTTCTTTTGTATTATATATATCGCACGTCACAAACAATAGGGTATTAGGTCGGAAAAACCATATTTTTTATTTGCGTTTCGAAAACTACATTTTTTTCTCTATAAACTGGTAAGATAATTGTGTTTTAATTCGAAATATAGCTTTTAAAATATAGCAACACATGTTGTCAATTTCTAGGCAAAAGGAGACCCGGCACTTTTCATAGAAAAAATGCTAAACTTGTATACAGTTGAATTTGGTCTCAAAATATAGCCAAAATTATTTGCTACATAAAACTACTTTTGCCTTATTTTTAGTGAATCGTGAAAAGAAGTTATATAATGATTAATATTTTTTGATATGGAAACCCTAAATCTTCAAGGGACAGAATTTTTCTTCAAAATATTACTCAAGTGACTGTAAAAACTATGATTCCTTTGCTTTTTCTAAATAAAAAACCAAATGTCAATTTGACAATCCTAAAATACAAACAAAAAACTCATTCGCATTTCGCATCCGCTCCCGCGTACTGTGATTGTGAATGTTCTCTGTTGTGATTGCCTTTTTATCCGTTATTTCTCTTGACGACCCGGCTATATATAGAGGTTATATTGACAAACCTACGTATATGACATTGACAGCTAGCTGCTGATGACAAATATTGCCAGACTACGTTACTCAATTATGAAACACAGATAAAAAAGATAAAATAGTATACAACTTTGGCACAAAATGCCGGGTGTCCTTTATGATTGTGAGTATTCTAAACAGTATTAAGTTAATACTCTATTGCCCGTTCGGATTAATACAAGTTTGAAGTTTTATTTAAAATAATACCCTCTGGCCTGTTCAATTTTATTTAATATGTTATTTTCAGCGAAATTATTTTAAAATGATACTAGTTGTAATTTTAACATGATCCATTTGAGCCATTTCAACTGCTTATAGGGTATTCTCTTTACCCAGTCACATAAAAGTACTTTTAAAATAAAAACTACTATTGATATACTAACTAAACTTACTCAACACAAAGAAGGATAATGTACGTTTAAATCAAGGTATAATTTTTAACATTCGAACAAGTAGTTCGGCTTCTATGATTTTTTGAAACTTCAAAACGCGATATCTCAAAACACTGTTTGTGACGTGCGATATGTGGCTAATGCAGGCGCGAACAACTAGCCTTTGGTGGTGTTTTGTTTCTTTCGATGAGTAAGGTTCCAGGGCTCCACGAGCTCCCCCGTGACGGCAGCCCTCCCTTGTAGTTCTGTCCTGCAAAGAGGGGGGCGGCGGAGGGAGCTACATGGGCACGCCCAAGTAGCCCTCCGCAGCGGACGGGGGGCGGTACGGTGGGCACTAGGCCGCGTACTCAGCCCCCACGCGCGGGTCGTCCTGCGCACGTCTGCGTGGTCCCCGCGATACCCCGGGAGACCCTTGCCGTGGAGCTCCGGCAAGGCCGGGAGGCTGCTGGGTGCGGAGACGCGGAAGAATCCCTAAACGGGAATCCCGCAGGATCACTAAGCAGCTTAGAGGGTGTTCGCAGGGTTTTTAGCGGATATTATGCCGTAAAGCGTACGTAAGGGTTACGGGGTCCTCAGTGGGCAGCCACTGCTGGGGCTCGTTAGGCTTGCGGGAGCCAGGTGTGAGGTCCGTTCGGCGGTGTGCCTCTTAAAGGCGCCGTCGTCTGTAAATAGTATTTTTTGCTCGTGAAGCTCGGTGGTATAGAAGGAAGTGGCAGGTATAGAAGCTTAAATTTTGTCAAATATTCAAAAAAAAACAGACAACTTTATAAATAACATCGGATTTTTTATTTCATAAATTCTGACAATTAACAATCACAACTCTATAAATATAATAAAACTTACATAAAATACAAACGAAGCTGTCACACACTCTTTAAGGGTTACTTTTTTCGTTGAACCACTGGGTGTAGAAAATGCTTAAGTAAGAGACTAGCAGTTTTAAAGACTCTAAAATTAAAATATAAAAAAAAATATTATGACATGTAATAACAAAAAACAACATAATGTAATTTTTTTTTTTTTTAATTGATTTGTGATATATGTAGATGCTTGTAAAATGTTAACAATATAATTGCATACTCATCTAAATTGAGTTATCAACATAATGAATTATTAAATTTGCTTGCATTTTAATGTTGAAGGGATCATTATAGCCCATCACAATGTTTGTCTTTTTTTCCAGTGCTTAACCATTTTTTGTGATTTACGAGGATTTTTACAAGAGCAGTTTTTTTTTTAAATAAATTAAGTTGGTACAAACCACAGATGTAGATCGAAATAGACAATCTAACGTATGTACTTCGCATGACAAAACACTCCAAAAAGTTAGACCATTGGTCTTCCTTGACGCTAATTCATTTCTTCACGTCACCGTTCTCCGGATGTCAATCGCAATGTTTAAAAAATATCTACTATTATTATTCATCATCATTAAAAGCCTATTAATGTCCCCACTAGGGAGTTTGAGCCAAGACCTACCACGCAGGCCTAGTGCGGATTGGCGGGTGCTAACAACTGCAGATGCAGCCAGGACCAACGGCTTAACGTGCCTTCCGAAGCAAGGAAGAGCTCGAAATAGTATTTTTTTTGGTCACCCATCCAAGGACCGACCACTGCGAAAGTTGCTTAACTTCAGCGATCGCAGCCGAACGCGCTTACCACTTGCGCTATCGATCTCCTCTATTATTATTATGAATATATATTTTATTATTATTATTTATTTCAGGCAGTGCCCATAGTCAGTGTTAGTAAGAATATTCATAAGCAAGTGTTAGTAAAATTACAAAAGATACACACAACACGTTATTACATACACAGACATACATATTAACTTGGGCTGCCAAGGTTTAATCTACACAAAAATTAGATCATTACGTGCGTATACGCACCCATCCTTGCAAAAGATGTCTTATTAAGTTACTCGTATATGCTTTGTCTAATTAAGTTGTCAAAACGATATAATTGAAATAGGTGGTCGTGGTCCATGCCTTTTTACCCCTTAATTTGTTTTCGGGGGTGTTCAAAATCTAACACTCACACAATTGAAAACACATGCAGTGTCTATTTCAATCTAGGTCTGTGTGCCAACCGTACGAGAATTCTCGTACAAATACGAGATTTCTGGTTTCCGTACGAGGTACGAGAACACTACACATATGTACGAGATTTTGTCAGATAAATTTAATGTACGAGATTTTTCTCAGATATATTTATAACATGATTTTGCATTGTAGACAACATGTTGGAGCATAAACACCGTAAGTATCCAAACCCCAATTTTAAGCATTTAGCTGTTAGCGTTTTGAATCTAAATAAAAATTTACTTAAAACACTTTTTACAATCTATGGTTAGTTGACCAGTTGGCCTTTAAATTTAATTTAGACCTTTATGGCAAATGGCAACATTAGCCGTCATGCCATAATAAAAGAAGAATAAGAATTTAGGTCTTTATATCGATAAATTATCAATCTTTTGCGAATTTAACAGCTTATGGTAACTTCATGTGTGGTCAGGGCCGTAGCCAGAGTTGTATTTAAGATAGGGAAGCAGTAATTACAGGTAAAGCAGTGGTATTTTAAGGTTGGGCATTGTCCCATAATCTTCCCCTCCTCTAATTACGGCCCTGTGTGTGGTTGCCTGTATCTGAGCTTTTATTACTTAATTAACATAAGTGCACCTAACACATTAAAATAAATATTATATATTACTACTTAACAAGTATTAATCAATGTAATGGCAGTATTTTGTTAAAAACAAAATGCTAATTAAGAAGTTAGTCTTAATCGCATTTTCACTAAGCAATTTATTTTCGCAATAGCAGATTAACTATAAACATTTTTTTCATCTAAGTGCCTTTCGACTATTGACAAAATGGTTATAAATAATAATCATGTAACAAAAACAATTAGTTATATTGATTTATAACAAAAACCTATGATTCCCCCCCCCCCCCCCCCCCCAACAGACATAATGTTTCTCACTGATAATTTATTTCCTACCTACCGTCAGACAAATCAAATAATTATATATAGCCGTTAAAATTACACACGCTTTGCTAAAATCAGTTTTTAATCTGCAATAAACATTACTTAAATATAATAAACTTAAATATTTTCGGAATATAAAACAAACTAATCCTGCCTAATATCGCAATACAATTGTATGAATCAATAAGTGTATGGCCATGTATGGCCCGTAATTTCGAACTTTCGAAAATAGTACCTACAACCTCCGTAATCATGCATTTTTTGAGCAATGTGTTGAAAAAGTATTTGGCACTTCAAACAACTTTCAAAGTGGTGTAGGTAGTAAATTTTTAAAGTTTTTTTAAATAGTTGAAAAAACTCTAAGTCGACTGTTAATGGAATCCGGTTGGAATACACCAACGATGCGCGTTAATTAGGCCTGAATTGATTAATAACAATTAAATAAGTAATTCCACATGCTAAATATGAACTAAAAAATTTGTGGCGACGTAATACAAGTTTCACTTTAATATCGCGCAAGTAATTTTCTACTAGCACTATACAAATTCTTTTCTCAAGCAACCTTTGTTTACGTAGCCAAAATTACAAAAATCATAGATAGACAGTTTTGCAACGCCAGCGACGTCTTTTTCAAATACATTATTAATACATAATAGGGTATTTGAGTGTTAAAAATAAAGTGCCAATTGTTAGCATCTGTGTTTAGAATGAATATTGGCAGGGGATTTTACTATTTTTACAAAAAAAAATATTCATAATTTTACTAAAAACTAACGAGAAAGATAATAGTTTTCTTATCTATTGTCACGTGACCCAAAACGCTTGGTATTGGCGGAGCGTAAAATGACGTCACAAGCAAGTAAACTTCCGGTTGAAGTGAAATTACATTGTATCGTTTGACGTTCTAATAACAGTCGTGTGACGTCACAGACTAGTAAGACGCCATATTGTCCAGAGAAACGCTTTCGCGGCAACTTGAAAATAGAGTTTTTGATTTGGTTATTTTTACTGAAATAAACAACAGAATGATGAATATTTCTTTTTACGGACTCCATAAACATTAGTCAATAACGTGAGATTGTTTTCTAAAACTTGTCAAATACCCTATTGTTGTGTATATTGTTCTATACAAATATATAAAAGAATATTAACTATTTATTAATATTAAAATTATAATTGCCTAGCTTTTTCTAGCATACATTCATGAAATACGCTACAGAAGGATCTTACAAAATTAATTTCACACATAAACGCACGCATACATTTATCAAATAGAAGAATAGAAAACATTGCATTGTTATACAACATAGTTATATTCACTAAGTATAATATATACTTTAATTTTTAATTAAAAAAAATTACGTGTCTAAATATTAGAACCATTTTATTAAATTATTAAATAAGTTATACAATTTATCACCCATATATTATTTTAATACGTACCTATTTACAAAATTTTCATGGTAAATAAATTGATGAAACTTTAAAACATTTAAGTTAAAATCAATTTTTCATATCCGGTTTGTAGAGTTTTGGCACCGTTTAGACTTTAGATAGCAAAATGCGCTCCGTGGAACATTCTTTTAGAGAATACTTAGAAGCTGAACACACTTAAAGGTTCATTCAGACAGCGAGTGGGGCGGGAAAACAACGCGACGCTGCCGCGATATAAACAGTTGTATACTATAATTGAGGAGCTCGATGGCGCAGGTGGTTAGCGCGTTCGGCTGCGATCGTTGAAGTCAAGCAACTTTCGCAGTGGTCGGTCATTGGATGGGTGACCAAAAATCTTCTATCTCGAGTTCCTCCGTGCTTCGGAAGGCACGTTAAGCCGTTGGTCCCGGCTGCATCTGCAGTCGTTAGCACCCGCCAATCCGCACTGGACCCGCGTGGTGGGTCATGGCCAAATCTCCCTATTCCATCCATAGGGAAGGCCTGTGCTCCAGCAGTGGGGACATCAATAGGCTGATGATAATGATGATGAATTATTATGAAATACGCCACACAACGCGACACGCCGGCACATATTACTTAATCGTTACTACGTACGCTGGGCGCGACGGTGTTACCCGCGGATTATTATGAATATATTCCCGCAGTATCATTATCAGCATGTATTGATCCAAGGTGTTAGCTAAATCTATACAAAATTTTATTAAAATCGCTCCAGCCGTTTAGACGTGAAGAAGTAACAAACATACACACTCACAAACTTTCGCCTTTATAATATTTGTGTGATAACTAAACATTACAACTGTCGAGTCTGTGCGAAAAGAGAATGGGATTTAGATTGGAGGACGCTGTAGTACTTTTCTACCGTACTTGTAAGGTTTTACCCCTTTTAGACATGATTAAATACAAAAAACCGCAAGAAATCACAACAACAAACAAATCCGTATCAATACAAAACTTTGACGTTTTACAGATTGCTGGGTTTGATTGCCAAATAAAATTTTTAATGTAAGTTCCGTTTTTCGCCACGCCCATTCTCTTTCCGCACAGACTCTAGCTGCGTTCGGTATTTGCGTCGCGGAGGTGACAGATTTTTGGTCTACTGATCACAGATTAATTTGAGTAAATTTCTATCACCGCACGGGCCAACCAACCGTAAATTAATTTCTAACCTCAAAGTAACCCCACAACATGACAGATAACAAGATTGATCTTTCTCCTAGGTCATAAATACTCCGAGCAAACAGATTTATATCAGACTCATACCTGGGGGCCATTCGCCTAACGGAAATGCTTTGGAAAACGCTAACGCTTTCGATTTTGTTTTATTATTTCTGACCGCCGAAGGTTTTCAAATACCTCACGCTCCTTTTTTTTAATATTGTTATTACCAATGCAAAAGAAAAAAAAAGCGCGAGGCCTTTGAAAACCTCAGGCGGCTAGACATAACGAAATGAAATCGTAAGCTATAGCGTTTTCCAAAACATTTCATCCCATATTAGGCGAATGGCCCCCTGAGCGGAATTACCGAACGCTTCAGATTTACTCTAGATGTAAAAACGAACATTTTAGACAAAAAAGTTTTTTTATTACACCCAATTTTTTTCAAGTGTGTATGCTATTGGTCGCAGATGACCTTTACAGCGTCACCGGGTTTGGGGACGGCGAGATCCTAAGGAGACCTCAAGCCGAGAATTGGCGAGAGCCTCTAGAGTTATTCCAGGCGGATGGCATCTCCCCACGGGGGGAGTCTCCTCTCCGTCTGGAGCCTCTAGACCACTCGAACCTGAGGGGCGATAAGACGCAAATAACGAACGCAGCTACTTTCTATAGCACCAGAGCGTCGCGTTGCCGTCCCTTATACCTTAAAAGGCGTAGACGCAGACGGGGCGCGGATGACTCTTCCGCGTCCTTATAGATGCATTATTTTAAAATTTCGTAATCACTAACATTTTAGCTATTAACGGGATTGTTATTGGTGTTGATTCTAGCATGATTCTCTAAACCTAAACTTAAATTTGACAGCAGTATATCCTTGTCATTCTCTATACAGAATGAAAAGGAGAGACTGATGTTTAATTTAGTTTTAAGTTTAGAGAATCACGCCAGAATTGGCACCATTATGTACCTTGTTTTTTACGAGTCTCCGATATTTCGGCACTGTTGAAAGCGCCATGATAACACTACTCCGAACAGTTACTGTGTCATGGCGCTTGCAACAGTGCCGAAATATCGGAGACTCTTAAAAATCAAGGTACACAGGGCCGTCTTTAACCTATTAGAGGCCTGGGCATATTAGGATAATGGGCCCCCCTATGACTTTGATGTGGAGCGAGTCATACTGATGAGTGTACTACTGATGATTTTTCTTTAAATGTGTATGTGCATAGTATACCTAGCATGCTTAGATAAATTTAAATATACATATAATATGTATGTATATTTGACGACCTCCGTGGCCGAGTGGTTTGTACGCCGGGTTTCATGGCTGTCGCCGACTCGAGAGGTCCCGGGTTCGAATCCCGGTGGAGGCAGATGTTTGTGTGATGAATACGAGCATTTGTACTCCAGTCATGGATGTTTAATATGTATTTATATAAATATACTTATATATGCACAGTATATGTATTCTATCCGTTACCCTAGCATCCCATAACACAAGCCTTATAGTGCTTACTTTGGGGCTAGGCTAATTGGTGTGAGTGTCGGAAATATTTATTTATTATTTTATTTACATTTAAAATCTAAGCATGCTGAAGTCGGAAAGCCTAATTTTTGGGCGAGAGTAGAGTAGCTTCGCTTATGTAAAAGCTAGTAAGCTAGTTATTTGTAAAGTTGGTATTGTGGTCAGTAATTTAGGTTCGATTTCATCGAATTATAAAAGTTTTTTGGTAATAAATATTGGTTATCGTTTTGTGATCTGACAGGAACTAGGGACTTTTTATTTGATCTGAGGGAGGCCCCTATCGATCGCCCTGGGTACTTGCCCAAAATGGCCATTGGGAAATAGGGGTCTGAAGGTACATGGTATAAATGGTAACAATCCCGTTAATAACTATAATACGCGTAGAAGCGTCGCGTTGCAAAACATACAGCATAAGAGAGGGCGCAGACACGACGCTTCTTATGTTTTTTACACTTTGTATGAAACTCACTGCCAATGTCTGCGCCCCGTCTGAGTCTTACATCTTCTCTGTGTGGCCCGTACCTTATCTTGCACGTTAGGTTAAATTCCATTGGATTAGGTTGATATACAGTCAAATTTAATGAATACGTTTATATCGAGTCAGCGTCTTATACGTTGGTATTAAAAAAGCTCATGGATTTTATTTTTATTAGCGTCCTAAAATTTGAATGAGTTTCTAAGATGAAAAATCAGACTTATATAAATTTAATATTATCAATGGTGTAAAGATAAAAGTCGCACTGAAACAATCTCTCAGAGAACATTAATTAGATCCATTTAATATTTGTCTTACAAAGCTTAAAACTTATCTTATTTCCTAATGTATAAAAAATATTTACACTACACGAACACAATTGTATTTGTATATACCTTAATTTAGAAAACCAATAAGTGACTAGGTATATATGACATCGAAATAAAATTTTGGAGAAATGCATAATTTTCCTCCGTTTCTTACGTCAGTTCATAGCAGAATGTTTTTAACCATGCAAGTAAAGGAGTACAGTACCCTATCACGAACCAATATCGAATTCGAATAGTTTGTGAGTACAAAATGTCATTATCAAATTTTGTATGGAAACTTGAAGAGCAATGCCACAAAGAACATAATATGAATGTAACGCGGTCATGAGTACGGAAGGTATAACCTACCGTACTCATGACCGCGAACCGAAACGTATTCTACATATTTGCCAGCCGGGTGGCGGGAAATGCGGCATTGCCTCAGTTTTGTCGTAGCCATCGCCGAGTGTGGACCTGCTTGATAACGTAATTGTTGCTGCATTCGTTCAAATGCAAATTACGGTAATACTTGACTGCATTTTATCTTAAACACATAATATATCATATTATACTGTGTTAAAACATAAAATAGATTACCTTTATTTTTTTATAGATTTAGAGAAATATTTAGTAGGTAGGTATTTTTTCAGGCGTTCTGAGTCACCGACGACGCTGTTAAATATTTCAATGTTAGTAGAGTCGAGTCGGGGACAGTGTCGCAAGGCATAGTGAAACAAAAGGAATAATCTCTGTATTATACTCAGCCATTAGACATCTGATGACAGCCAGTGCAGTCTTTGACCTATTGGAGGCCCCGGGCATATTAGGATAATGGAGCCGCTATGACCCCCGTTTGGTGATTTAACAGGAACTAGGGACTTTGTATTTGATCTGAGACGGGCCCCTATCGATCGCGGGGCCCTGGGCACTTGCCCAAAATGCCCACTGGGAAAGAGGAGTCTGATGACAGCTGTTTAAGATGGCGGTATATGAACCTAATAAAACCACGTCAAGACAAACCATTATACAAATAAGACGAAAGCAGAGATATTCTTTATGTTAAATTATGCGTCTTGTTACACCTGTCTCTTTTAATATACTGATGATGTGAGAAAAGTATTTTAAAGGCTGGAAACAATGATATTAAATACCCTAGATACACCACGAACGCTCAAAATGTGTCCCAATCAAGAAATGCTTGAACTCCACTCAAGCACTTCTTGGTTCACAGTCAGTTACAAAGTCAAGATGCCACAGAGCTCCGCAAAAAAATGTGAAAATAATACTTAGAATCCGAAAAGTGTCGTTTTTTCAACAGGTATCTAGTCAATGATTGTTAATTTAACCCATTTAAAGTAAATTTTGATCTAATACTTATTATAAAATAATATTTGTGATATTCAAATGCATGGTCGGTTATACGTCGCCATATAGCAGTCTCTTTTCCTCGCGGTCCGTGCCTGCTATATTGCTAACAGCGCGTTCAAAGCTTGCATTTCGAACAGTCAGAAGTCGTTGACGCATGCGTTTTATTTAAGACCTTTATACAGTATGTATTAAAGGTTACTTTCAATATTTAAATAATGCCTTATATTGATTTTGACTACGCGATCATCTTACGGAGCTCCGTGGATCGTTCGATGTACCTTTTGGACAGATTTCGGGCACGATTTTGTTCGTGTTGGTGTATCTAGGGTATTTAATACCGTTGGCTGGAAATGGTTCCAAAGAATAACTTTCATTCTATATTTTTTTTTATATTGAGATAAACATGCTTTTGTTTGCTTAAATGATGCCATATATTAATTAGGCCTTTAATCTGATAACGCTGTGATGTTCTGTTTGAAAACAAGACGCTGTTCTGCATGGCTTGAAGTATTTATATATCTATATCAGATACTTATTTAACTTACAAATAAACTTATGCTACGCCACAATCTGTACATGTTTCTTCGGCGGATTTTCCCTCGGCTCCTTCAAGACGTATGTGGTGGATGTCGTCCTTCCTAAAGAACCGACGGAATCTGTGGAAATACAAATAATTTATTAATGTATGTCGGCGGATGGCGTCTCACTCGCTCCTTCGAAACGTTAAATCAACGACAATTGTCATCAGTCAGTGTACCATTGCCTTATGAAACGTCAAGTAATGACAGTGACAGCTGTCATCACTTGGGAGTGGTCTATGCTAAGGGTAGTATTTAAGGGGCTATGCTTCATTGGAAGGGGCATTCGGCATTCAGACGTGAGCTGCGGTAGTACAAAGCAATCCATTTGCATCCTTGTAATTTTATTATATTTTGTAAAGTAATTTAAAGATTTAAATTAAACATTAGCTAGGTTATTAGACTACAGTTTCATTTTCTGAAAATAACATCGTACACCCAAGATGGCGGATCAAGAAAAACCACGTGGCCAACCGCCTATCCAGCTCGCCCCTCATGTAGATATATCGGCTGTTTATGTACTTTAATGATTAATTAACACGAAATTGTCGAAAACTCTCTTTTTCCGTGTCGCAGTGATAATGCGTAACTCAGATGATAATGACTTGAATAAAGATCCATCAAACCCGGCGTAAAAACCACTTTGGAATTCTATAAAATTTTTAGTGATATCACAACCAGAATCGGTAACTCTACCCCCTGTCTTTTCTTTCGGAAGCGTTTTCTTTCCACCCGGTATGCTGTTATCGATGTCATCATCATCATCATCAGCCTATCAATGTCCCCACTGCTGGGGCCTGTGCCCCAGTGTATTCTATCCATAGGAAAGGTCTGTACCTTTCCTATGGATAGAATAGAGAGATTGGGCCATGACCCACCACGCGAGCCCAGTGCGGATTGATGGGTGCTAACGACTGCAGATACAGCCGGGACCAACGGCTTAACGTGCCTTCCGAAGCACGGAGGAGCTCGAGATAGTAATTTTTGGTCACCCATCCAATGACCGACCACTGCGAAAGTTGCTTAAGTTCAACGATCGCAGCCGAACGCGCTAAACACTTGCGCCATCAAGCTCCTCAAGTTATCGATGTGTGTGTGTTAATTAAATAAGTAAATTTAAAGTCATATCTTGGTGGAAATCGAAGTGCGTGACTCTTAGCAAAAACTTGGTCTTGATCCGCAATGAGGATTATTAGTAGGTCAGCAAATCAACTCAAAATCAGCAGGTTATTATGATCTTATAAGCTTTTTATCTAATATATAAAATTCTCGTGTCGCGGTGTTTGTGGTTAAACTTTCGCGGCTTTCCCGATTCTCATGAAATTTTGTGTGCATATTGGGTCTGAGAATCGGACAACATCTATTTTTCATCCCCCTAAATGTTGAGGGTAATCCACCCCTAAATTATTATTTTTAATTTTAGATATTTTTTTTTTATTTTTTTATGATCTTCATACAAAAATACATAGAGCCCTAAATTTTCACCCTTCTACCACCAACCCCTATTTTTTATGGCGGTACGAAGTTCGCTGGGACAGCTAGTTTAATATACTTTTTTGATCATCGATTCGTTGCGATTTAATAACAAATTTTATTTTATGGTAGCCAATATTTACCGGCAGCAGAAACGTGTGACTTTACAGAGCTCGATCGTGGTTCACTCCGGTCAAACTTGAGTAGCATCTCTAGCACCCGAGCGCTGGAGCTCTGTGTCGTCAAAGTCACCACGCGGCCAACCGAAAATTCGTTTAGTAATTTGGTCATAACTTCGTCAAAGTGTATGGTCCGGAACCTCTGCTGCCCATACCTCAGGCCCAAATTAAAACGTGGCCGCGTGAAATAACTCAAAAATCACACTTGACGGAGTGGAAAACAGGTGAAGGATGCCGGCAAACGAAAAACGCGGTTCCGGCGGCAAATAAAAGTTTTGCCCGCACCCTTACCAGACTAAATAGGGACAAACTACGCAGGATTATAGGATCCCTGACTGGTCATTGTCCCCTAAATAAACACCTATATACAATAGGAGTAACGGACAGCCCCCCCCCCCCCCCCCCGCAGAGGATGCATGGAGGCAGAGGAAACGCCACAGCATGTTATCATGGAATGCAGGAGTGTGGCCGACCAACGGGTACGACTTCTCCAGTCACCAGAATCGTTTCCGGAAGCTTGCAGCAGTCTACCAAGGCTGCTTTTCTTCTGGACCGATATAGGTTGGCTGGAGTAAACGGGAATGTCTTTGAGACACGCACAATGGTCCAATAATTAGGACTAAGTGCGGAAACCGCCCTGAAGAACTAACTAACTATAACTTCGTCAATATTCGTCGTAAAACAAAAAAAAATACCACTGTATATTATTATGGAATCCTTAGCTCTATAAATCAGCATTTTCAACTTAAATCGTTACGGATCCCCATTGAAATCTTCGATTTCCTTTGTCCTCGTAGAGGAAAAAATATCTTATATATAAAATTCTCGTGTCGCGGTGTTTGTGGTTAAACTCCTCCGAAACGGCTTTCCCGATTCTCATGAGATTTTGTGTGCATATTGGGTAGGTCTGAGAATCGGACAACATCTATTTTTCATCGCCCTAAATGTTAAGGGTAATCCACCCCTAATTTTTTTTTTAATTTTAGATAAAAAAAAAAAATTTTTTATGATACATCATACAAAAATACATAGAAGCCTAAATTTTCACCCTTCTACCACCAACCCCTATTTTTTTATAGCGGTACGAAGTTCGCTGGGACAGCTAGTTTAACATTTATGGGGATGAAAAATAGATGTTGTCCGATTCTCAGACCTACCCAATATGCACACAAAATTTCACGCGAATCGGGAAAGCCGTATCGGAGGAGTTTAATCACAAACACCGCGACACGAGAATTTTATATATTAGATATTACTTGGCACAAATCCTCCACTTTCACAGACAGGGGTTTTTTGACGTTGGCAGGAAATGGCTATTTATACCGATGAAGGGAAGAAGGTTAGGTATAGCTTACTATAGAAGAAGGCAGCGGTGAGGGAGCGGGAGGAGGACGCTCTGGCCGCTCCCCTCCGACGTAGACGGGTGGGCCGAAGAAATCAGGCGGCTTTGACCGCAGGTCTTCGTCGGCCCTAAGGTGGTCTGGGCGCGGCATGCCAGCAGGCAGGCGGCTTTGACCGCAGGTCTTCGTCGGCCCTAAGGTGGTCTGGGCGCGGCATGCCAGCCGCGCGTCCTTGGTGCCATTCGGCATAGGCCACCCCGTCTGGGGATTACTTAGTACCCTAGAGTAATCCCTTATAGACGCGTCGCCCGGTCCACTCGTTGGGCCGGGCCAGCCCGAGGACGCTCTGGTGTAGTGGCCCACGTAGGTGCGCCGATCCCAGAGCGCCCTCATAAGGGCCGAGGAGGGTACCGGTGGTTTTTAGTGGGTAGGACCGGCGTTGTTCCGCGCCAGGGAGTCCCACACACGTCGCGCGCCTGGCAAGCGCGCGGTATGGTGCGTAAATGCATTTTCCACCGTCAACAAAAAAAATAAAATAAATAGCTTACTATAATGTGAGCACCGTCGCGGTGGGTGGTAATGGCAGCGCGCTGGCGAGGATGGCGCGGAGGCCGGCCCTCGCCGCGCGCCGCGCTACGACCAGCGGAGCTCCTTCAATTCCACTCCAGTGTTAGGGACGTCTTGTACCTATAAACGTGAAAAGGAGTAAATTTAATATACAATATCGCTATACTACTTTTTATTGGAGTTTACTCCTTAAGAATCGATTTGCATATATAAGGGGCCCGGTATGAGAAAAATGTGAGGAGTGAAATCTATCGATGAATGACCTCGTTACGTTTCTGGTGCGCATCCTGTTCGAGTTCGAGCCAAAATGACTCTTAAATCCGAGAGCTTAGGTGCAAAAGAATTAAATTGAAACTACAGTGTACTTTGTTAGACCATAGATCTCTTTATTAGTTAAGTGACGTTTTGCCTATATGTAGCTCCAAACATATTTACAAGCGTGATGCAACGAACTACAGCGCCATCTATTTTGATACATATGAACTAAAATTTTAAATGCACAGATGGCGTATACATAATCGCCCATCAAGGACAAACTGAGATATGTCCTTACAAATATTTAACTTAACAACATGACTCTGTTATCGCCCACCATGACTTACGGTAACAAAACAAATAAAAACACTAAGATGTACAATAACTTGAAATAATATATTTATGCACATATGAAATTGACTATTGTAAAAAGTTTAATGTAAAATATTTCGTCGATTAGTTATAATAAATGTATATGAAATGAATAAATATATATTTATTATTTTCATTAATTTGTTAATTAATAAATTAATTCATTAATTTAGCACGGAGTCCCTCTTTATATAACTCAACAATAATGTATAAAAACTTAGGTTTAATAAACAAATAACACTAAACTAAATGATTACTTAAGCAATAAAGAGAAGGTAGAATAATAATATAGGTAATATTTATAAGTTCTAAGTAATGTTATAATATATGTCGGTGTAGGATAATTTCTGTGGGGTGGGAGCCTGGCGACTTGTACTACAGGCCTTTAATGCCTACTTCAGGCACCAGCTTCTCACTCTTCAAATACGTAGCTTTGAAATATTTAATGATGGCTGATGCTTAACCGATTGTATTTGTATAAATTACCTATAAGTTTTTGTAAATTTCAGCGTGTGAGAACAGAACAAATAAATATTATTATTATTAAATCCATCCTTGAGCCTAGCGGCATCTTTCGTGACGATGGCAAGAGACCTGACGGAATGACGCTCATTCCGGTCTTTCAGGCAGAGTCTGGTTACTGGCTGCAAGCTTTACCTTCAGCCAGTATCGGGACTTTGCTTGATAAGAGCAATCTGTCTCTGGCAATATCGCTTCGACTTGGTGTTAAGACGAATCATCCCCATCGTTGTCGTTGCGGTACTCGCGTCGGTGAGTTGGGTCACCGTGGTCACGGGATATCATACAGTATTCTATCTTCATACAAACGGTCGGAAAGCGAGTCATACCTACGCCACTCGAGTTCGTGGTGCTCTCGGCGGGCACCCAGTTGCGAATGCGCCGCCGCGCCGCAACGACGACCGAACGGTTTGAATTGTTTTTTATGCAGTTAGCCGTGCTTAAACATGCGTTTTGTATTGTAAATATTTGATTTAATTAAGTAGATACCTACATAATTTAGTATGGAAAAGAACAAACGACGATCAATATCGTACAACAGCACAATTGCTGTTTTTGGTTGCTTGAACTCTTCAATAACACACCCAGAGATATTGTTTTTTAAATTACCTGAAATATTTGAAAGGTGGTCTTACCTTTATAGAATATTTTTTATATACCTATCTACTAGTACGTTATTTGTTTCTAATATTTAGGTATTTCGGTTTTTCCATCGGGCAAAATATCTGGAATAATATATAAATATAAGTGGTTAGGATGAAAAAAAAGAGACAAACGAGTAATCTACCTACACTCGCGTTAAAAACAAAACTACATAAAATACTGTAGGCTGGCGGCCCTACCGCGTGCCAACGCAGCGTTCGGTGTAGGCATTTATTTTCAAGGACAGGGCGAAGTCACAATACTGTATAGATAATATTACCGTGCCGTGGTCTCTCATGCCAAATGAGCGATTGCCGAGTCTCCCGCCACGCCTGCATCAATGACGTCATCCGCAGAGCTCTTGTCGCAGTCAACGTGCCAGCGGTCCTTAAGCCGAGCGGCATCTTTATGCGTCAGAACATCTCTTATCTATTAGACAAGTCCGTCCGTCCGTCTGTGGTGCTGTTTCAGCGGCCAAACCGTAAGAGATAGGTAAAGAGAATATTTAAGTTATAAGTTAAGAATAGTCTGATAAGACTACAAACCGGATTTGAGTAACGTAGCACTTCCGGTTTTCGAGAAATCACGAATTTCAAACGAAACCACACAAAATCTCCGAAGTTCTCAATTAATTAAATACATTTTTTTTATAATCAGGTTTTGGTGAACATTTGGTTCACTGGTTTGCTAGTAAATTTATATACGAGGCGCGATGATGTACATAATTTCAATACCAGAAATAAAGATAAACTGAAATTGCCACCATTGAGACTCCAAAAGGTTCTTGGTTCATTTGTGGGTCAAGGCATATGTTACTATAATAAAATACCAGAAGAAATAATTAATTTACCTTATAATAAGTTTAAAGTGTGTATAAAAACATGTCTCCTTAAGAAAGGTTACTATACTATTAAAGATTTCATAAATGATAAGTCACCTTGGGCTTAACATAATAGACTGTCGTTTTACTTTGCTAATTTGATTGAAAATTGTTTAATCGCCACTTCTAAATTTAAAAATAGTACCTAGCTATACTTAACTTTTGTTAATTAATAATATTAATGTGATGGAAGTTGACATCAACACATGTATTCAATTTTTGATGTCATCTTTCAATAGACGACACTGGACTGTATGAAACAAAAGAGGGAGAAAAAAATAGCCCTTGCTGAGTTTCTTGCCGGTTCTTCTCAGTACAAGGTCTCCCGCCGTAGATTTACGAACCGATGTCGTAGCGTTTGACTTTCACAAGAGCTTGTAACAGCCTGGACTGAATAAATGAGTTTGAATTTTTCGTGACGATGGCAAGAGACCTGACGGAATGACGCTCATTCCGTGGAAGCAGGATCGCCCTCTTGTATGGGACGCAACTTGCACGGATACGCAATTTTCGTGCCATACAGGAAGCACCTCCCTTGCTGCAGGCGCGGCAGCGGCCTCTGCTGAGTGCTCCAAGCGGCGCAAATATTCAGCTCTCAATGAGAACTATATATTTGTGCCATTTAGTGTTGAGACCATGAGCCCATAAGGTCCAAGCGCTCGTTCCTTATTTAAGGAATTATCAAAGAGACTCACCGAGGTGACTGGTGATCAAAAGGCTGGCAGCTATCTTGGTCAACGGATCAGCTTTGCCATTCAACGTGGCTATGCTGCCAGCCTATTGGGTACCATTTCTGACGGCGACGCTGGGTGTGACTTATTTTTCATTTTGAGAATAAATATTATTTTTAAGTATCTACTTAAAATTAAACTTTGTGGGATGAGCTCCAACCGTTAGCAAGAAAGATCTGTGTCGCAGTTGGGTTCTTTGAATACTTACAGAACCTTAAAAGTGTGCTTAAGTTTAGAATTGAGCGAGCACCAACTACAATTTAGCTTAACTACAGAAACTTCTTTGAAGACATTTTAATTTTACCTCTTCTATGACACCGTAATCTTGGTCGATTCTTGTGTCTATCATGCTAAAGCTTTCCGGTATCCAAGTAGGCTATAATTTATAAAAAGAAAAAACATATAAAATAAATAATACAAAAACTGAAAAACGTAATCTTTTGGGTTAATCCGCTTAACACCTTGCATTCCATTCGCTCACTTATAATTGAATGCACAATTTTGATAAAGAAAAAACAAAAAATAAATGCTGAAGAAACGCACTGGAGAGTGTTTCAACCATAGAGATAAAGTACTCGAAAACCTCAATTTATTGCTTCATTAATAGGGGTGATGACTATTATTTTTTCTTCGTTTATCAGGTAGATTATCAAAAAGTATTGGACTCGTTTTTTTCTTTTTTCACATAATATAAACATTGCAGAGATGTATAGATTTGAAAAGTCGCATGATGTCACGTTTCGGTACAATTTTCACTTAAAAGTGACGTCACGAGCCCCTACTCACAATCTTTGACGCGCTATAACTTTGTCATTTTTTGGTTGATTGCCCAAAGAAAAAATACGTGTCCATTATTTTTTGATCATCTAACTGACGGACTAAATAGAATTTCGTTTACTGTACCCCGTCATCATGCCTATTAGCGTGTTATCTCAATCTAACGATAACGACAACGCTAGATCCCTCCCTTCACGACAGACAGTAGCTAAATTAGAGAAACGATGAAATGCCTTCGAAAAGCATCAGACTGCGCAGGCCATTTCTTTGTCGCACTATCCGTAAATGGGATGCTCTGCCCGCTCGAGTTCCCTCCTTACAACCTGGGATCCTTTAAAAGAGGCGTGAAGAAGCAACATGCAGGCCGGCAGGGTAAGGATGGCTGGTGTGGCAGGTAGAACTGTACCAGCTATCATCACATCCGGACCTCACCGTCACTAACATTAGGTGGGTGGAGTCATTTGTCGGAACTATAAAACGTTACCTGTTATGCAATTAAAAGCCTTGAATAGATATAAAACAAAATTGAAAAATAAAAAAAATAAATAGTGCAATCTTTTATTTCCAAAATACCTTCAAATATTAAAGCATTGAAATGCGGATCCCAATATCCTACAGGAAACAATGTGGCTAAAAAGACGCATATCCAAGTATCTATAAAAAGTTTCGAAAAAAAAAGAAAAAAAATGTAAAATGTCAATATCTATAAGTGAGCCTTCATATGTCGTTTTTACCCGACTGCAAGAGCGCGAAGCGCGACGCGCAGACAGAGTATAGTATTTATTAACAGTCTATATATGTATGTTTGTTCCTTTGTGGCACACTAGAGACCAAACGCCTGGACCGATTTTGATGATTCATACATCAATCGATTCGTCTCAATCATGGGAGTGCTACTAAAGATATGATAGTAATCAAAATTCAATATGGGCAAAATTAGGCGC